ACTTGAACAACCTACAAAAAGCCGCATATTATTATAGATAAGATAATGATCATCGAAATTTTAAAAAAAGAAAACCCTTTTATATCAGAAAGTGTTTGGGTTTTTTCCCGACAAGTCATTGATTTTACTTTAGCACCACACAACCGGATCTTTAGAAAACAATGATTGTTACGGATGGAAGTCGAACCGATTCTGAACCCAGCTGAAAGTCCGACGGTCTGTTGACCTGTATGACGTCAATGTCCAGAGAGGCCATAAGTGACCCCGTCTGACCCACAATAAATCCAACGTGTCAGCAAAGTTTCCTTGTGTCTTCTTTGGTCTCAAGGTGGGGGGGGGCTACCGGTTTTTGTGGTGTTGAAGCTTGGCGCTTGCTTTGCTGTTGCATGCAGGAGACCTGAGTTCGATTCCCGAATAGGGAGAAAATTTGTATTGAGTATCTCGATATTTCTGCTAAGACGTTATGTCCCTCTCAGCCCGGGTTGGCCATGACAGGCAAGGTCACAGGCCCGCCTCCTAAATGATCTAAATTTTACTTGGTGCTATTTACCGGTTAGTTTGATGTCGGTTTTTTTCTTTGCTTTTGGTAAGTGTTTTACGGCGCTCGCAACTGCATAAGGCCGTATCAGCGAGCGGGACACCTTAAAATTTTTAGATTTAAAGGAATTCATTTTCATTTTTACCTGGGTAGCGACCGAAGCCTTCTCTTATCGATTTTGAAACACCAAAGGATCTACAACGTGTCTAACTTGCACACAGGACCTCCGGGATTTTTCATCCTTATCCCAGAAGGCTAGGTGTTAGGTCTTACCTACCCTATAAGATCAGAAATGTGGATGAAAGACAGCAGTAAGAAGGAGCCAAGGAGTATCTGTAGAAAAGCTGCAGAAAGAGGAGCCCAAAAGATTGGGGGGAGGGGGGGGGGCAAAGGGGAAAAGGAGGGGAGGGGGGGAGTTTGATATTTGCTTAAAGTTTTCCTCTATAAATGAGACGTCAGATCTGAAGTCTAAAGAAATATACTTATGTTGCCTCAGCTTGAAAGAGTTGTCTCGTACAATGAACTAATTCAGAGACATCATGGCGAAATCAGGTGCTCGTCAGAATTATGAAAACGAAAAAACAGGCAATTTTCTGCCACTTTGGCAATTTTTATAGATTTTTTATTTTTTTAGCTCAATACCTTTTAAGTAAACACAAAAACATAATTCCTTGTGAATTTTGCATAAAAAACGTTGAGTAAAATCATAGAATATATAACTTTTCAGTTTTCAAGGACTCTCAAGCCATTTAAGTAACTAAACTTTGGTAGCCATTTTATCCCTACTGTTATCACTGAAACCAGGCGACCTCACCCCCTTCAATCACAAATATCTCGACTTCTATTCAAGATAAATGAGTATTTGTTCATAAAGATCAAGGTAAAGGAATAAGCTATCAGATGATGTCAGTAAATTCACATGCCCAGAAATTGACGAGAGTCTGATTTCACCACGTCGTGACACCATTTATTTTGGCTGAAAGTTTTGAAATCGTTCCAACTTGTCTTGTCGTATCGCGTTTAGTTCTTAAGGTGGTTTATCACGTGAACAAATACAGGCGGTGTCTTTGTTGTGAAAACTATAGAGAAACCGTCTCGCTGCTGAAAGAATCTACCTCCACCCCCGACCCCCACCCCCTTTTTTCAACTCCCCCACACTCACTCCTTATCAGACTCCTCCGCCCTCCTTTTTGCCCCTTCCCTTCGACTCCCTTTCCCTTCTCAGCTCGCTACTCTTTTCCAATCCCTCCTCCTACTTTTTCGCCCTCCCTCCCCCCTCTCCGGGTCCCGAAACCAAACTACAGTTAACACAGGTACAAACAA